TGCACCCCCCCCCCCCCCCCGAGTGCTGGTGGCCCCGGGCCCCTGGCCATTTGCAAAGATCCCCCCATTCCGAAGTTCACTTAATGTAACGGTCCAGACAGCGGGTGCTCAGCAGGCCCCCTGGGTCTGGCCTCTTCCCCCTGCTCGGGATGGTGCTGCCCCAGGGAACGGGCCAGAGCCCAAAGCCCAGCTCCAGCAGTGGCATGGGCTGCCCTGGGGCAAGTCCCACTTCTCAGCCTGGAACCGGCCCCACGCCCGCGGGCGCAGGGAACTGGAGGGGCGGAGGGAGCCAGTGGCGCAGGGTGGCGGAGCTTCGCCCAGGCCGGCAGAGCCTCGAGCTGGAAGAAGAGGGGACGTTTTGCAGCTTTCGCCGGCTTTGGCAGTCTGAGCTGGGCAAACCGGAGCAGCTGTGCCCAGGCTCTGGGCCCCAGGAACAGCCCTCCAGGGTCAGTGGCTCCTGCTGGGTGGCCATCACAGGTGGCTGCTTGGGAGCCTTCTCCTCAAAACAGTTTCAGCCGCCGCAGCTTCTGCTTTGCCTCGCCCCGATTCTGGCCGGAGAAGGGCAGCTCGGGGCGGCCGTTGCCGCGAGGCTGGAGGGAGCGAAAGCAGCCAAAGCTGCCTCCCAGGCCTTTCCTCAGGGAGCTTGTCTGGGCAAGTGACTACGCCATAGGGCCTGGCCTGGCCATCTCCTGGCCCCTGGAGGTAAAGGGAGGCTCATGCGACCCGGCCCCATCAACGCCAGGTGCTGCCGAACGCATTATCCCGCTGAGGGCTGCTGTGCCCGTCTGCACCCCAGCTCCCTTGCTGCTGAGAAAAGGGGGCTCCGGTTTTAATAAAGCGTTTAAAAGACGCGTCTCTCCAGAGCTGTAGTGGATGGAGGCCATGGCGGTTGCAGGCCCTGCCCTGCTTATATGCCGCTGAAGCATACGGCAAGGCCTTTCTTTGTAAGAACTTTACACGTGTACGTGCGTGTGTGTGTGTGTGCACGTACATGTGTGTACACGTACATGTGTGTACACAAGCGTGCATCACTGGGCCTGGCTCTCCACCATGTTGCCAGCTGCTCAGCAGCATTAAAAGAGCTAAACCAGGCCCTCACTTATTTTTTCCTTCACGGAAGCAACGGCTGGGGCTCTGGTGGGGAGGGGTGGGGATCTGGGGTACTAGGCCACCAGAGGGGTCACATTTTGCCAAAGGTGGAGGGGCCGGTCTGGGGGCAGGGGACAAATACGGCGAATGATCTTTAGCCCCTTTAAAGCCTCCTCCAATGGCAGCTGGGCTCAGGGGGGCAAGAGCAAGGGAAGGATTTTGTCTTACCGGCCACAGGCTGCCCAGCCCGACGCCCCCGGCTCTGCCTGTCTCCCCTGCCACAAGGAATAATTAACACATTTGCCCTGGAAAGCGGGTAGGGCAGGGCCAGCGCCGGGGCCGACCCAGCCTGCATCCCTCTCCCACCAGCTATGGGTGACCCCGTGTAGTGGGCAGCGTTTGCTTGTGTCTGAGCTGTAGTCAGAGACCCTGACCCCCTTGAAGTCCAGTTTACGGGACTTGGTCCTTTGCTAACCCCTGGGGCAGGGGATTTGGAACAAACAGCCTCATTGCAAGGCGCCAGTGGCTGAAGGAAGTGGGTGAACCCCCTGACAGCGAATGGCCCCCTTGCTAAAACACGTCTGCCCTACCCTTCCGGCGGGCATTTGCCTTTGCGCCTGCTACTTAGCTCCCTCTGTAAAACGGGGTTAACGAACAGGCCAAAAGCCCAGTAAGCCAGGAGTGGATCTCAGAGCATCACTCCCTTTGGGCCCCCGGCAGCCGTGACCCACTTCCCCAGCCCGCCCACCTTCTACCCACTGCCTCCGAGGCAGCAGCGGAGTAATTAACACTGAGCACATTGGGGCCTGCTCAAAGCGCCAACCACCTTGCTTTCAACACGCCATGGGCAAAGCCGAGAAAGCCGTCACGGAGCTGCAGGCACGTGGCCTGTATCTAGCTACTGTAGGTTTGAAAAAGCCTGTGCGTCTGTCCGTCCATCTGGTCAAGAACGCCTCCCAATCGGTCAGGGCCAGACCCAGGCCCAGGCCCACCAAAGTTGGCAGCAGCTTCCTCTTATCCTAAGTTAAAGCAACATCAGGGATTGATTGTGCCAGGACAAGGGGATGTGCCTGGAATGGGGATTTGGTTCTCAGCAAACGGAAAGGGAGGGGTGAAGAACCACAGGGGGGCAAGCACCCCACCCCCCAGGAGCAGCCAGTGGCTGGGCCATGTGCCCCCCCTCCCCAAACACACACCTCCCAACCCTGACTCCCCCACAACCCCAGCCCTGAAGGACCCAAGCAACACGGGTACTGGGGTGTGTGTGTGTGTGTGTGTTTATTAGGAGCAGGTGGGGCTGTTAGTTGAAGTGTCCACATCAACATGTAACGTGCACATCAAATTCCAGACACACATTTCTCACCCGCTGTCAGTATTTACTAGAGATGTTTGATACTTTTAAAAATATATTCCATGGCTTTACGTTCCACGGGATTGGACGGAGGAAGAACAAGCAAGCTGCGACGAGGGAGAGAGAAGGGCCAGCTGGGGGCAGCTTTGGTCAGTCCCATCCTGCGCCGTTCACCTCGGAGTAGACAGGCTGCAGCTTATCCCCGTAGATGCCACCCCCCGCCAGGGGTCACTAATGCTGTGGTTGCCCCGGTAGGTGCGGTCGGGGGGAGGGGTAAGTTAATACTGCAATTGCCCAGGGAGAGGCTTTGATCCTCTAGTAGTCAGACCCCCCCAGATGTGCTAAGCACCTCAGCTCTCCTTGCACACAGCAGGAGTTTCAGCACCTGGCAGGATCAGGCCCAGGAAGGGGCTCTCCTCTCACATGGCCACCTGTGGGAGGGGCGCTGGATTGTCTGAGCACGGTTTATTCTGCTCCACGTGCACAAGAAGCAGGTAGTGGCTCTCGGGTGCTTGTGCATGGCCTTTGTGGGGCTGCTTCGAAGCACGGCTCAGAGGCTCAGCTGGGTTTACACTAACTCAGTGGGCAGGTTTTGGAAACAGGCATGCACACGGGCTAGAGCCAGCCCCGACAGCTGACGCACGCACGGCGGCTTTGGAAATCAGCGCACTTGGGGGGACTGATCGCTCTCATTCCTTAAGTCATAACAGAGAACGTTTCGGTGATGGTGGAGAACGTTCTGCCCCTGGGGGAGAAACTGATCCTTGAAATGAAAAGCAAAGATGGCGGCCAAGGGGAACGGACTTTGCACTGACAGCAGGACACCCAGGACTGGCCATCCAAATTAACTAACCCACTTTTAACTGCATTAAGCCTGTGTGGACACCCTGATTCCGAATGAAAGTGGCCTGAATTCACTTCAGTTTAAATTCACTTTTGAATTAAGCTAAAGCAAATTAAGGCCACTTCAGTTCAGAAGGAGAGGATCCACACTGGGGCTTAATGCAGGTTAACTGCTCCACTTTGCAGTCACACCTGGATTTTTCTGAGCATGCCTGGGCCAACAACAAAGCCTCGGTTCATGCAAATGTGTTAGGTGTTTTAAATGGGAACTAGTTACACGGGAAAAGGGGGGGAGCAGGCCTTGCTAGCGCCACGATGCACTGCCCCCTACTGGCATAATTCCACAGCCCCTGCCCACATCTGCTCCCGGGGAAGGGGCGGGGGGGGAGATTTTCAAAGACCTGTTCAGTGCCTACTCACATTGGTACCCATGGAAAACTCTCACTCATGCTTGCTTAGAAATGCGCTTCAATGAACCATCTCTAATTGGAAACCTAACTCCACAGGCCTGAGCCGGGTTCCTTCTTGCTCTAGCAGCCTTCCCAGGGCTTCTGGGCAGGATGGCACCAGGAATCAAAGCCGGCCCAGACTGAGAGAGACAAGCCCCGTTTGGAATTTCCAGGAGGCCAATTTCAAGTCACCCAATAGGGCGCGGAGGAAGAGGAGGCGTGAAGGCGTTGATGACGGAGATGACCCCAGCTGCTGTAACCCAATCACTTCTGCCTTGGGACTAATGGGACCTGGGCACTTCGTAGCCCTCGGGAGAACTAGCTTGTTTTATTACTTAAAAAGACTCGCTTCCGTGAATTCAAGGCGACGGTAAAAATAAACCCATCTGGCTAACACCCTTTCTGCTGGCCGGGTGTGCTCACTGCATAGAGAAGACCTTGTCTCAAGATCAGGGGGAGAAGGGGGGAAAAGGAGACCCAGAGAATGTGCTTTTTGAAAGAAGAGAGAAGGGATGGGGGAAGAAATCCAGACATTCCAAGAGTCCAACTCTGCAAAGCTAGAAATGGAGGCAGCTGGGCCATTATAAGGTATGGAGCGCTCCTGGATTTCCCTCTTTCCTGCATAGTATCCCCAAGCTGCCTCAAGGGCAGCAAGAGAGTCTCCTCCTACCCACTCGGCCTTCTCAGCATTTCTTCTTGAGGAGCTCCTGCAGATAGCAGCCAACTTCTACCGCCGAATCCCAGGGTACCACTGTGGCCTGGAAGGCTCTGGGTTGCTTTTTCTCCATCTCCTGGGTCATCTGGTGCATGGGGTAGCCCTTCCGTGGGAAAGCGATATCAGTCGAAGTCAAAGCCACGGAAGGGCAGAAATCATTGGCCGCATCCCCGACGTAGAACACGCGCTCGAACTCCGCCCCCTCCTGGGCCCGCTCCGTGAGGTACTCGGTCAGGATTTTGCGCTTGCACATGTTGGCCGGACACTGGGGGCACTTGTGAGTGTGATAGGGCCCCAAGGTGAGGTAGCCTCTCTTGTCAAACCCGGAGGGGTTGCTAAAGATTTTGCGGAAGAGGGAGTAGACGCCCGCAGCTCTCAAAGAGCACTCGATGCCAAACATGTTGGCATCAGAGAGGAGGATGATCTCAAACTGGTCCTGGTTCTTGGAGAGGAACTGAAAGAGCTCTGGCATCCCAGGAGACAGCGGGATGTTCTCATAGACTGTTTTGTAGTTCAGCATCTTCACCCCCTGGTCTCCCAGGTACTCGAAGACACGCTGCATGTACTCGTTGTAGAAGCCGTCCCGGAAGGTCTGCCGGATATGCTCTGGAAGCGCCTGTCCCGGAGCCGCCTTGATGACTGAGTCGTCGCTGTTTTCATTGATGATTGTCTCATCAAAGTCAAAGACAAGGAGGTATCTGGGGGGCTTGGGAGCAGCCGTGCTGACGCCCTGCGAGTTGAACCAATGAGACACGTCAGTCACTCAAGACTGGGGCGGGCCTTTGCCCCAGACACCTGGTATTTTTAGTGGAAGCAATCCCACTTGGGGAACAGAAGCTATTGCAGTAACACTCCTGAGTCTCGCTCATTCTCCTCCCACGTACCTGTCTAGCCCAGCCGGATACCTCATCTGTCCCTCATAGACCCTAACCCTGACCTTAAGAGGCTTAGCACCCTGGAAAGAGATCCATTTGTCCCTCTTAATCCTGGTTTCCTGCACCCGCGACGGTCACTGGGCCAAGCCGCGGCCTGGACTCGTCCTCCCAAGAGGATCTAGCTAAGGCAGCAAAACCTTAGAGTGGCACTTTGGCTCCGCAAAGCGCAACCTGCGGAATCGGCGCGCCCGCCTCCCAGCCGCCATGTGCTGGGCTCCCCTGCAGTAGGTAGGTGAGGAGGTTGCCCCCTGCAGCTGCCCGGCTTGCAGACTCGCCCTGGCCTCTGAAAGCCAAGCCGGACTCTCCGGCGTTGCCATGCTCTGTAGGGACTCTGCAGGTCACAGAGGTGAATCAGGCCCGAGTGACTCTCCATTTGCACAGGCTGCAAGTCAGCAGAGCCCCCTTGTGGCCCCTTTTCAGGGCACATGTATTAAGCCAGCTGCCTCGGGCAGAGGCAGCCCAGTGCAAAGGCGTCGGCGAACCGCACTCACCTTAAAAAGGCATCGCAGCCCAACACCTTCGAAGCACCCGTTCATTTTCAGGGCATCACTCGCCAGACTTCTCCTGCTGTTACCGCTCCAGGTTCCCTTTCAGCTGGTCACTGCAAACCACAAGGGGGATTTGGTTAACGACCTCCTGGCTGCCTCTCTGGCATGTTAGACGCTGTCTCAAACATCGCAACTGACTGCTCCAGGTCGGAGGACACGATCTCCCTTCCCAGTCCTGGAGGGAACACATGGGCCTTGACAGCCCTACAATGAACCCAGGCATGCCTGACCCCAAGTGCGTCCATGGGGCAGGGAGAGATTGCAGCTGATCCTTTCAAACACAAAGGGCTCGTTTACCCTGGTAGAAACTGCCTGGCACAAGTATTCCAGAATAGCTTTGACCATTGAGGACACATTCACTCAGGATAAAACAGTGAAAGGATTCCAGCCAGGACAAAGTCTTTATTCTAGACTGATTCCCGTTCTCGCAAAATAAAGTAACTTCTATTCTGGAAGAGCGCATCCACATGAAGAGCTGGACCAGAATCATGAGGGGGGGAGCAGTTATTCTGGGAGCGCTATGTCCATCAATTTCCCCATGGAGACGAACCCCTTAAGCGAAGCAAGATGTGAATTTACACGCCCTGGTTTCTGCTGACCTCTTGTGGTCGGTAACAGTAAAAACCAGGCTCCGTAAAGAGTCACATTTAGTGATTTGCTGCAGCGCTTGAGCACTGGTAGTTTCCATTGGAGTCACAAATATAAATGGGTCTGGAAAAATCAGCTGTTCTGGGGGAAGTGGGGCATTTATATCTCAGCTACTGAGATTTAATTGGGGAGTGAAACGTCTCATATTTTGTTAGCATCCTGATGAGACCAAAAAATGGAATAAGATAATTTCTTCTTCTAAGTATTTCTGTTCTAAATCCTGTTTCAGAGACTATTTTGGCCAGAAATCATACTAGAAAGAGTATTTACCCTGAACCCTTGTGTTGAAGTAACTGCTGCTAGTAGAATCAACAGTGTGAGTTATTCGAACATGCCAAGGTATGATATTTTTAAGTTTAAAAGGACATGGACAACTCAAGTTAGGCTCTCCATTGAAGTCTGGTAAAAACAAGTTTTCATGGAATCTAGAAACCTACAGAAACCATTTCACTTTTAAAAGATACGCATAGAAAGCATGTCGAAACCTTCCTGCCTAGCTTGAAACCCAAATACTGCTGCACGATATGCAAAAGTGAAACTGACCTCATTGATTAAATTGCCAAGGGAGGTGGTGGAATCTCCCTCTCTGGAGATATTTAAGAACAGGTTAGATAGACATCTGTCAGGGATGGTGTAAGTGGAGCGTGGTCCTGCCTTGAGGGCAGGGGGCTGGACTCGATGACCTCTTGAGGTCCCTTCCAGTCCTATGATTCTATGATTCTATGATTTTCATTGTCCAAATGGAGAGAAATGCAAACAGCACAAACATAAAAAAAGTAATTTGGATTTCAAACAAATTCTTTAGCGCCTACAGGATTATTTAATACTACGACTGAGTAGCGAAAATAAGAAAATGTTTGTTTGCATCTGGTTGTCATTGTCCCTTTAAAAATAACTTCTATGAATGTTCAACAATTATATAAAGAGTATTGAATGTACCAACTTTCCATTCAAAACGTTCTAACCCCTGAGAGCTTCTGGAGGAGCTAGGGCTAAGAATTTAATGCTGAGGAAATAATTTCAGTCTAATGCCTATGAAGTTGTCAGTGTGAAAGCACCAATGAAAGGGTGAAGGAAGGGATGTTACACAGAAAATAGTAACTAGTTAAGCTACATCAAAGGGAAAATGGATTAAATCCACACCGATGTGGGACATGCTTTTGAAAAGCTCTCTGGGACCTGATATTTCTGCAGATCAGGTTCTTTCAGCCTACAAATAGCTGTTTGCACACAGACATTTACAGTCAAGAATGACATTAAATAAGGGGGGGGGTTAAGCCACATTTTGGTGCCTTTTACCGGAGCATCTCACAGCAACATGCACATAAGTGTTGTTACACAGAAGACAGAGAATCCTTGCTTAGCAGTAAGCGATCACAACTACTAAATTGTTACTCTTTATCCCCATCAGAGTTCAACAGTTTGGAGGGCTGCAACAGCATGACACAAGGGATCACATCATGGTTGTCCTCTTGTCCACAGAGGAGCTGTCTGACAAGTGTTTGTGTCTTAGGAGATAACATCTTCCCCATACAAAGGTCATTTTCAAGGGAACGACTCTTGCAACTAAGGGCCATAATGTGGAGAATTCTAGTTACTTCTGATGAAGGCTGCACCATCGACACTTACGTAACAATATGCAAATCAACTGTGTGACGTGTCCATCAAGGTCAAACAGTGCCCCGGTGTCAATAAATCTTGAAACCACAGTGTCTCCCGCCCTTCCTTTACAGAGGAGGAAGTGAGGTTGAAGTCTCCAAAGTTTTCACATTTAGGTTGAAGTTTTCAAAGTGCCTAAAGGAGTCCAGTGTCCAAATTCCACTCAGTTTCAAGGAGATTGGGTGCCTACGCAAGGCAAGCATCTTTGAAAATCCCAGCCTAAGTGACTTGACCAAGGCCACATGTGAAGTTAGTGGCAGACCTAAGAACAACTCTCTCTGAGAAGTCCTGGCTCCTGGGCCTTCTCTATAACCATTAGCCCACACTCCCTGCCACTGCACCAACCCAGAGCTAGGCTAATCATACGTATCCCAGCCGGATGTGGCTAAGATCCCATGGAAATATAACAAAGACAATGCAGGATAGAGGAAAGGGATGGTGGCACCTAAAAATGCTGTAGCAAATGGTGAAGGCAGGTTGTGCCGGCGCAGTTCACGCATTACACTTCCCCTCCAAGCATTAGCAATGAGACTTCTCTGCACCGTCTGCCCTGTGCTGTCGATTTCAGAAATCCCCTTCTGGGATCAGTAGAACCCCGTGGGAGGCAACGGTCCCTGCTGTAGGGGCAGCGCGCAGCCCCAGCCGACGGACGGGGGAGGGCGGGAGGGGGGTGGG